TCCAGACCTGGCCCCTTCGGATTATTATTTGTTCCGGTCACTGCAAAATTTTTTGGACGGTAAAACCTTTACCTCAAATAAACACGTCAAAAATCACCTGGATCAGTTTTTTGCCAGCAAAGACCAAAAATTTTATGAGCGTAGAATCATGCTACTACCAGAAAGATGGCAAAAAGTGTTGGATCAGAATGGCCAATATATAATTTAATTAAATATTTATTCATTATACGAAGATCGTCTTTCATTTTCACCACAAAAAAACGAAATTACTTTCCGAACAACCCAATAAAATGTTCTAAAAATTCTAGACGGAAAAATCGGATCTGGAAATGTCTGCGTGTTCTGTGAATAAAAACAGTATTTTTTTCAAAATGATGGTTTTACCCCCCAAAAAAAATAAAAACAGGGAAAAAAAAATAAAAAGAACTAGTTTTTTTCCAGAGATAATTTTTCCGGAATCTTAAAAATACTATTGCGTATGTGACGTCGGAAATATTTTTTAGAAGAATTCATACATTTTGTTAACGCTGGAGAGTTTGTTTTAAACGAAATGGAACTGCGTATAAAAATGATACCATTAAGTACCACTTTTCTTCAATAAATATTCAATAAATTATTAAATAAATTATTAAGTTAAAAAAAAGTATATACATATATATTTAATATTTTCATTTGACACATACACACACACACACACATACCTTAGTATATAAGATGTCTACATACAATTCGTTATTATTCATAGTAACTTAGACTCATGTTATATACAAAATTCATATGGCTACACAAATGCTTTAACATTTATCAGGCATAGGGTTACCAAATCTTTCGATCACATGCATCATATCTAAGTATTTATATATCATGGTTATTGATTATTGATTATTTGAAGAAAACAGCATCGATATCTGAAATATTATTAAAATATTGTTGCTGTTTTCTTGAGTAATCAAGTCATAATGTCAGAACATATTACACGATGTGTATCTATATGTGATAAGAAAATCTTGGTAATCTTATCTCTAATAAAGTTGTATATATTTTGGTGTATTGTACTTAATGCATTTTAATTTTCTTAACATACCATTTTCCTATTAACTTTATGTCTTAATTTATTATAGTAATGTTATATTGTCTTATTTCACCGAATTTTATCAGGAAATTATGGTGTAATTATTCTTGAAATAAATGATCTCTCTCGAGACGGCAAATAAGAGAGACCGGGTCTAGAAGTCACAAAGTATATATCTCACGTATATAAATATTATTTATAAAAAATAATATTCTTCTTTATAATGTAGCTTGCTTGTATCGTGTTAATCTGATATATGAAACGGTTTGTAGTCAAAATATTGCATATGATATTTGTATTTTTGTTTTAAATTGAATGCGTGAGTAATTTTTTTCTCTTCTCTATTGTTAGTATTTTGCTGGTTTGAGAATTACTAGTCGTAACTTCTCTTTAATCGTAAGAAAATATTATAATTTTTGTTCATTTTTCCAATATTTGCTTCATCGTTACAACATTGTTTATAAATATAACCTCTTTTACTGCAAATGAGCGTTTGGATTGAATTGATTCAAATTCGATGGAACTAGTTGTCATTAGGAAATCTTTACGTATCTACGACGTTTCTTACACATGCGCGTGGCAACGCACGCAATGATCGCCGAATGTTGTCAATCCGATTAATTTAATGACACATTTAAGTTTCTATAAAAGAAATGACTTATGTTTTTTTATTAATAATGTGATGTAAATATATGCGTATACACACACACACACATACGCGCGCGCGTGTATGTATGTATTAGCTTTATATATTACATTGTAACATTTCACTAATTTTAATAAAATATTAGAAGACCACTTTTAAACAAACTATTTGTTTTGTATTCTCTATATAAAAAACGCGTAACCATTAACCCAGGATATGGGATATCACGTTTGCACGATCTTGTTTATAATTAACTTTTTTGTGCATAAATATATATAAAGCTAATATTATTTTTCTTGTACTTAAAAGATGCAGTTTTGGTCATTAAATATGAAATGTCCGATTTCGAATCAAAAGTTTGGTTCATTACACGTCTGTCTCAAAAGTTTCCGAACTTTCGTTAAAATTCACTCTGTAAGGTAATAATTATAATTTTGTATTTATAATCATTCAAGATATATCCCTTCCGAAGAAATATTATCTTTACAATAGTCATACAGTTTTAGAAAACTCCGCTGAAAGTCTTTTTTTAAGATGGGCGAAATGGCCTCAGTCGAAGCCTTCTGAATGTCCAAAATAATGTCGAACTGCTTTTCCTTCATTTCTAGTTTCGAGAACAAAAAATCATATGGTGCCAAATTTAGTGAATATGGGGAATGATTAAGGACAAGGACCGATTTGGAAGCGAGAAATTTACGCACGGCGATGAACTTGTAAGCCAGAGCATTGTCATGCAGAAGCCACCAGCTGTTTTATATTCGGTATTGAGAATGAACCCGACCAATTTTCGCTAACAAACGCTTCATAATACCCAAGTAATAAATAAAAAGCAAGTCACAAATCTTGTCTACGGTTTCGACCGTTCAATTAATCGATGGCCTCTTGCTGCACTCGTTATCTTCCAACGATTCTTTACCGAAACTTCACGAATTACTCGTAAATTGATATACGGGATAGTGCTTTGTCCCTATAAGCTTCGCATAACATTGCTAATGTTATGTTTCTGTGAACTTTTTGTTCAATTTGACACAAAATTTGATATTTGTTTTTTTGCTCCATCGTGACTTCTCGACAAATATCACAAAAGTTATGTCGGTTATGTGATAAAACAACCGTTAAAGGGATCTCAATTCAATTTACAGAATTTGTGAACAAAATTTTAATAAAGATAGTGCAAAAAAGATAGCGCCACTAATATCGTCCGTACGAAGAAAGTTTGGAAAATTGTGGGAGAGACCGTATATATCTTAAACAAGAAGTAATACAATTAATCAAAATATGTCTAAATTATCGACGTTTTATCATTAATGGTAGCTTGTTTATGTCGGCACCGAAAAAGTCTGGAGAGCGAGTGGCAATGAAATCGCTAGAGGCGTTCTCTATAACTTGTTGAAAATTGAATATTTTTTCTTGCAAGAAGTAGTCTAATGTTGGAAGAAGTGGTAGTCAATTGGTGCAAGGTGTGATGAATACAATGAATGACAGAGAGTTTCCAAGTTCAGTTCCTGTAGTTTGAACAGTGTTGTTTATACGACATGTGGTCGAATGTTGTTTTGTAAGAAGATTGGCCTGTTTCTATTGTCCAGTCTCGGCATTTAATCACAAGTTTCTTCATCATTTCGTCCAATTGATTACAGCAGACTTCTCCTGTAATTGATTGACAGGTTTCATGAAATTGTAGTGGATAATACCAACGTTGGATCAACATCATTAGGTTTTTGGTGAACATTCTATTTCGGCACTTCATTTTTATCCAACCATTATGCCGAACGCTTGCGATTATTGAAAAGAATTTTTCCATTACACGTAACAAATGTGATGTAGAAATGGTTCGCCTTTATACCATGACAGCACAGAAAGGCAAGTTTCGAGACGATTTTTCTTCATTCGTTTAATTCATGCGGAACCCATCTATTTAACTTCTTTACCTTGTCGATTTGTTTCAAATAGTTCAATATTGTTGGAATAGTAACGTCAAATCTTGCTACTAATTCACGCATAGTTTGAAATGTATCCGATTCCACTAAAGCTTTTAGCTCATTATTATCTATCTTGACCTCCCAAGTTCATTTTTGAGATTAAAACCGCCAGAACAGAATTTCTTAAACTACCGACATACTATGCATTAATTAGCCATATCCTCGCCAAATACATAATTGATATTTCGAGCTTATGCGTTGTATTGGTTTCACGGTGGAATTTATATTCGGAAATAACACGAATTTTTTAATTATCCATAGTTTCACAAAAATTAATCTGTAAAAGACAATTCGAAAAATAATCACAAACCAAAACGTGCGTTTGAAAGAATGATGTAACCTTCCCAATAAAAGCAAAAATTGTCAAAGTAAAATGTCAGAAATATCGGCTCTCAAACTTAGTACTTAAGAAAATCGGACATTTCATACTTAATAACATTAATACATTATAATGTACATGATAATATTAGATATTGTATATAACTTTTTCTTTTAATCAATATGTAAAAAGTATGACAATCAGACCTGGTCTCCCCAATTTTCACACATCAACATAAAGCATAAAGTTATTCTTTTTTATCTCATTTTTCACAGGTACGACTTTGTATTGTTCGACTACTCACCAAAAGAGTACTTAGCATGTGGGAGAGATAAAGTCACTACTCTAATATGTAAAAAATGATGTTGGCATTTCGTCCGTCTTTCATATGTATGTAAACCTACGTATATACATATATAAACATGCGAAATCATTATTCGAATGGCGCATGCGACACAACGAAATTGTAGATAGCACTTAAATGAATTTAAAATGAGAGAAAGCTCATTTTAAATTCTCGATATGTATATAGTAATATAGTAACGATCGTACCATCGATAAATTTTTTACCTCATAGACTTTTAAAGAAAATTAATATTTAAATTCTTGGTTTTGTAATCTGCATATATAAGCTGTTTAATTATTATATTGAACATTTTGATAGTGTGTTTGTTAAAATTAACTAAATTGTTGTAAAATATACGAAAAATATATCGGTAAATATATGATAAAAAACATTTTAAACACTGGAGAGACATTTTACAAAAGAAGGCCATGAGATGATATCCACTGATTTCAATGATATTGTTTGTGTGAATAAGTCTTGATATAAATTTTTATTGAACAAAAGAAGAAAGCGCATTTCTTAAGCATTTTCTAGAAAATCGAAATTAAAAAATCCTGAATGCCGTGTAAGTTTAGCAGAGCTATACCAATGACCGCGTAGCACGGCGATAACGCATCTGACTCGTACGTGCGAGATCAGTAGTTTAAATCTCGATGAATGATTTTTTTAATCAGAATACAATTTTTATATAAAATAACTATAAATCATATAGGTTTATATTAGGTCTAGTAAAAAGTAATCCATTATTTTTCCAATATAGGGCTTTACTAATCTGTATATCGCGTTGTATAAGTCCGAACGGATTACGCCAGATGGCGTTAGAAAGATAAGATTTCGTACTAAAAAAAACTTCTTAGACAGTTTTGTGATTGCTTGACTCAGTATTGTTAGAGCGCGCGTCAAAGATGGACACCAGCAAAGAGAAAATACGCCATATTTTATAGTTTTTCTTCGATAAAGGCGAAAACGCAAGCCAGGCGGCTAAAAATGTGAATAGTGTTTATGGTCCTGATACTGTAAGAGCCAATCACGCGCAATTTTGGTTTAGTCGATTCAGTTCCGGTAATTTTGATGTCAAAGATGCACCGCGCTCCGGGAGGCCAATTGTCGAAAATGTTGATAAAATAATGGAAATCGTCGAGTCCGACCGTCATGTAAGCACCGTTTCGATTGCCAAGGAGCTAAACATTGCACAAAAAACCGTTTGGAACCATTTAAATGAGGCTGGATTCAAAAAGAAGCTCGATGGTAGGTGCTAAACGAGTTAACGTAAAAAAACCTCATGGATCGAATTTCCATCTGCGAATCGCTGCTGAATCGCAACAAAATCGATCCATTTCTGAAGCGGATGGTTACTGGTGATGAAAAGTGGGTCAATTACGACAACGTCAAGCGAAAACGATCGTGGTCGAATCGCGATGAGCCGGCGCAAACGGTGGCCAAGCTAGGGTTGACGGTCAGGAAGATTTTGCTGTGTATTTGGTGGGATTGGCAGGGAATTATCTACTATGAGCTGCTCCCTTACGGCCAAACTCTTAATTCGGACCTGTACTGTCAACAATTGGACCGTCTGAAGGAAGCAATCACCCAGAAGCGGCCAGCTTTGGCCAATAGGAGAGGAATTGTGTTCCATCAGGATAACGCCAGGCCACACTCATCGATAGTGACTCGCCAGAAGCTCCGGGAGCTTGGTTGGGAGGTTCTTTTGTATCCACCTTATAATCCGGACCTGGCACCAAATGATTACCACCTATTCCTGTCTATGGCGAATTTTTTTGCTGGTGAAAAATTCGCCTCAAGAGAAACTTGTGAAAATCGACTTTCCCAGTTTTTTGCCAATAGGGACGAGGGTTTCTATGAGAGAGGCATAATGAAATTACCTTCGAAATGGTAACAAGTTATCGAACAAAACGGTGCATATTTGACCTAAATCGGATCATTGTAACTATGTTAAATAAAGCCTCCAATTTGATACAAAAATAATGGATTACTTTTTACTAGACCTTATACATTATACCTATTTATTTCCTATTAAAAACATGCATGTTCCTTTTTTACACTTTGCTTTACAAAAATTCGTTTTCGGAATTGTTATCTATTAAAAATAAAATTATTTAAAGATTTTTTCTGAAAATTAACAAATTCGGATAGATGGTTAGTATAAAACACAATTAAATGAAAATTGTTACAATATATTGGGAGTACAAATTAGTTCGGTCCGTTTTTTTGTGGTCAAAAATGCATTTATTTCAGAACAAAATGAGTGAACAGATTAATCAAAGTATCGTCCATCGCTGGCTACTACTTTTTCCCACCTCTCAGGCAATTTTCGAATTCCATCTCGAAAAAATGTCTCGTATTTTGAGGCGATCCAAGTTAGGAGCCAATTTTCGATTTCTGCGAAAGAAGTGATCCGGTGACCTGCCAAATCGTGCTGCATCCGTCGGAACAACCAGTAATCAGAAGAAGCAATGTCTGGCGAATACGGCGGGTGCGGTAAAATGTCCCACTTGAGCGTTTCCAAATAATTTTTTACGACTTTTGCGACATGAGGCCGAGCGTTATCATGCAGAAGAATAATTTGGCACCCAATTGCCTTGCTTGTGAATCATTCCCATGGATTTCAATCGTACGGAAACTGCTTGTTGCGTAATTCCCAATGATTCTGCAAGCTCCTTTTACGTTTGACTCGGATCTTCATCGAGTAATGTCTCCAATTCTTTCTCTTCTTATTTTTTTGGCTCTCTAGAGCGAGGCTTGTCTTCAACGCTGAAATCACCATTCTTGAAACGTCGAAACCATTCCCTACATGATTTATCAGTTGGAGCATTGTCACCATAAACTTCTACAAGCATTCGATGCGCTTCAGCTGCACTTTTCTTCCAATTAAAGCAGAAAACTAAAACCTCCCGCAAATACTTCTTATTTAACACAAAATTTGACATATTCAACACAGTAAAAAACAAGGGTTTTGTATAACTCAAAGCGATATAAACTGAATATTATTGGCAGATGTCTAACCTCTCTGAAACCACCGAAATCAGCTGTCACTATGAAACATTTATAACAGCCAGAGCCATCTTTTGAAAACGGACCGAACTAATTTGTACTCCCAATACAAATAAATGAAAAATATGTTTTATTAATTGTTAGAAGCAGATGGATCAACACAGACAGGATATAAAGACAGGATGAAATTTGTTATAGAAGCAACGAAAACAAAAAGTATATCTTGCATACCGTATAAAAACTGTTGTTTTATATCACCCTGCAATAGATCCGCCGTTAAATTAATAGAAATCATGAGAAAAGATAGATTAAAAACGCAATTTGTTGCAAACGTTAATTTATAGCACTAATTTATAGCTATTTATTGTTCAGGTTCAAGGAAAGCGTCCAAACATTTTTACAAATGTGCTGAGTGTTATTTTGTGCGTATATTCTTTTATTTCTACATATACTGTCACTTAAATTGGCACGGTTTTTTCTCGCTTCTGACGTCATAAGAAAAAGACAACTATAGCGAGTATCCAAGAGTTTTAAGTGAAATTCGAAAACAATGTTTAGATATTTATACATAGAGTTATTCAATCACATTTGTGCCATTTTGTTTCATTACTTTTCATCATTTTTGAGGTAGCTTCATGATTTAATCCTCCCAAAACATATCTTTCTGGGCGACGAAGTGGTCCAAATGGTTTTTACAGGCTTCCAGGGAATTGAAATTCTTCCCATTAAGAGAATGTTATAGGAGCCAGAATACGTGGTAATCCGAAAGTACAAAATCAAGTAAATGCGGCGGGTGAAGTAGGACATCCCAGCTAAGCTGCATTAATTTCTGCCAGGTCTGCAAAGAAACGTGAGATCTGGCGTTATCCTGATGGAAGACATCTCTCCGATTGGATAATTCCGAGCGCTTTTCATCGATTGCTGCATTCTTGGTCTGCATCAATTGGTTCATTTTGGAACAGTATTTGTCTGAATCCAAGTCTGGTTATGCGGAAGAAGCTCATAATACACAATGCCTTCCCAATCTCGCCAGATCCACAGCACCATCTTCTCCGCATACAAACCGACTTTTGGAGTGGTTAACAGTGGCTCATTTCGTTTTTCACAGAACTTTTTCGTTCCACATTGTTATAAATAACCCATTTTTCATCGCTCATGACTGTTTGTTTCAAAACTGGGTTGTTTTTATTGAGTTTGAACAGAGAAT